TTTGGAGTTTTATAGAATATGGGACGTCCAATTTCGAGGGCAATTCTTTGTTTTCCATCTAGATTTTAGCATCACAGAAAATTTTAGGGTAGTTTTGCAGCTTTTGCGTAGGAGTTTTATGACTTTGTTCCAAATGCCTTTGTTACCAGCTTGATGAGCCCTTGCGAATAAGAATATGCACTTCATATTATTTGTGAACAGCCTAGTTGCCTAAAATGAAGAAAGGAATGCACTGGCCTTAGGAGTTGCCTATTTGAAATTTTTTTTTGTATATGAATGGCTATGAATCACATGTTGACTAAATATGTGATCTTAAAGCTTCCAAAGCCTTTATATTTTAGTTTTCTTTCTTATGATCTGTTTATAATGCACAGTTGGTAAGTTCAGTTTATGTTGTCATTTTTTTAACTAATGGTTTGGGCTTAATAGCCTAAAATCCTGAAGTAGGATTCCACTCAGATTCATATCTTACACTGCATGATTCTGAACTATGTCATGAATTATGCCAACCTTTAGATAGAACTCTGAATTATGTGCATGAATCCAGATTCATACTTTTCACTTATGATGGAAGCTTCATCTTTTTGGACAAGAAATTTCTATCATGCATCTTAGAATCAACTTATGTTCGTGCAATTGTGTGTATCATTGTGCAGAGGCAAGTAATTGAGACTACCTGGGAGCACTTGATTCGTTTTGGTCGTGCTCCACCACCTCCCCTCGTCAAAGAAAGATTTTGTATCAAATTAGAAGAAGATGATCACTTTGGTGCAATCTCTTGTATTGAAGTCTATCAGGGAAGTGATTTTCATGCCTTTTCCGAGAAATCATGGTTGAATTTACTGCAGGGCAATGCTCATAGGTTCAGGAATGTTACTGTTTCGAGATTGACTCGAGAATTGAAACACCTGATCAATGAAAATGATGGACCATGTCATTTGTATCAAAATCTATTGAATGTTTGTACAAAACTATCTGAAGTTACAGATGTATCATAAATTTATTTTTTGAATAAAGTTTTGTCTCGCTTTCGTTAAACTCATGACTAGGAGAAAATTATCGACAAAGCTGCCGACACAGGGATAAAGATGAGAGATTATAGTCTGACATTATGATGAGTAGTCTTGAAAAGTCTGGCAAATCATGAAGGATAATGGCAATGGCAACCATACAAAAGGGCGAAAGCTTGCCTTTTTCGGGAGGTGAAGATCCTAAAAACATGAGTGGGTCGTTTTGAGTGAGCCACCCATTGACTAAAAGTGCTAACTAAAGGAAGCCTACAATCACCATATGTTGTCATTTGCTTCTCTTTTGTGCACTTTATGGAGCTGAAGTCCAATATTTTGCTCTTTTTTGGTCACTGTTTAAATTACTTCACTTTCATCCTTAGCTTTTACTAACCTGGTCAGAGGAAAAGCTAAAAGGAGGAGAATATGCACTTTTCATGTGTTGCTCTTTTGTTCAATTTCTTAAGGTGGAAGCAAATTGCTTGGGATCTTATAGAAATCAACACCAAATATTCCACATTGAGAGGTATCCTGTTTGGATCTAAGTATGGGAACCATCTCCTGTATCAACTAATGGGTATCACTTCTCACATCAAAATTTGCGTAACTATCATAATATTTCTTCATTTTTATTAGTCTGAAATCTGAAATTTATCTGCAAGAGGCACTTGGGTAAGCTTTGGAAAGATCTTTATCATGCCATTCTCTGACGCAAGCAAGGGGCACTCTTGTGGTCCTTGAAGAGCCTCGTAGTTTAAATCCCCCCCACCCCCCTGTTTTCTTTTATTCTTGTTCCTTAAATTATGTGGCTAACATGTATGCAATATTGTAAACATTAGCGTGCCGACCATGGTATAAAAATGTGGCCCATGGCACATTATTATTATCATATTAAAGTGCAGCAATATCACTGTTTTGCACTTGATCCACTAGTTCATTTTGGGCTTGTATGTATCAAGAATCATTGCTTGGATTCTTTTACTTGATGTAATTAACATACGCGTCTGTTTTCAAGTTAATATTGATTTCCAAAAGATGAAGTCTTAACTCAATATAAGAAGGAAATAAACTATTCTTTTTGTGCATCTGGGTATGTGCAAGTACTAGCTTTTATATGCAAGAGGGTCTACTAAGAGTGGAGCCCACTATCTGCTATATGCTTTTGTCCTGAGGGATTTGTGATGGTCTAATGATAGTTTTAGCAAATATAATGGATGGACAAATTTTCAAAACCGACCACTTTGGGATTTTAATTGCAAAAAACGACCCATTTCAATCTTATTTATAAAAACCGACCCAGTTGGTTGAAACTGGGTCGGTTTTTTAAAAAAAAATTCTCAAACTTCACGGGAGTTCAACTCCCGTGAAGTTTTGTTATGAGAAAAACTTCACGGGAGTTCAACTCCCGTGAAGTTTCCCAAAAAAAATTACAAAAACCGACCTGTTTTCAGCCCCTGGCTGAAAACAGGTCGGTTTTTGTAAATATTTTCAAAACCGGTCGTTTTTTGCAATTAAAAACCCAAAAGGGTCGGTTTTGAAAATTTGTCCTATAATGGATAGCATGAATGGCAAGGGTGTTAAATTGTAACTCTCAAACTCTCGAGTCTGAAGTTTCAGAGATCGAATTGTGCCGATCATGAATTTTTAAAACAGATTTAGGAAACTGTTATTGTGATTTTTCTTCTAGTGTGAGTTCGACTTCTAAAGCCTCAGCGCTGAAACCCATTTCACTTTTTTTTTTTGAACTGTGAAACTTCACGGGAGTTGAACTCCCGTGAAGTTTAGCAGCTTAATTAAAATCTGCTAAACTTCACGGGAGTTCAACTCCCGTGAAGTTTCGGAAACTTTTTTTCAAAAACCGACCTGGTTTCAGCGCTGAGGCTGAAACCAGGTCGGTTTTTACAAATATTTTGAAAATGGGTTGTTTTTTACAAATAAAAAATCAAAAAGGTCTCTTTTGAAAATTTGTCCATTAAAAAAATGCCTCCCAAACTTTGAAGGGAACGTTAGAGTAGAAAATTTTAAGTACCAATTATAATTTCATAAATTAGAAAAAAACATTTAGCTAATTCCTCCCACCTATTTTTTATACTCACCTTTTATCCTAACGCTCACCCGTTAATAATAATAAACTACATTTGGGCAATAATATGTAAAGATACACTTCTTTAACTATCGTCAAAAGCCAAAGTGATTATTTATTAAACTTATCATCATCACAAAGGTACATAACATACAATTTTTTAGTTGATCACTAATCATTTAGTTAATTAATAATTAATTATTAACTTTGAGATGAATATAAACCTACCCTTCTCTTTCGAGTCTTTTCTATTGGATTTATTAGAAATTCAGCACAGTAATTGAGAAAAACAGGAGGAGAGAGATATAGAGGGAGAGAACGAGGATTAGAGGACTCGATCGTTTAATAAATAAAAATCTCTCTCTCCTCCTCTCTTATCTCTTTCTCTCTCTCTCTCTATTAAAAAAAAATACTAATAAATCTAGGGTTTCGTTTGTTGCTCTGGGATATCGACCTACAGAGGAATCAAATCTCTGCAAGATCGATTTTTGATTGCGTTTCTCATCTCAGATCTCTTCGCCGAAGAAAACCCATCAATTTTTTTCGATAAAATTAGGTCTTTCGGTTTCTAGATGTTTGCAAATCCTTCTAGCTCTATTGATTTCAGTAGTCTTTCTTCGAAGAATTTGAATTGTTAAGGATGGGGGAGATAGACGGCGTGTCTAGGGTTTCAGAAAGCCCTAATATTGCGTCGGGTGAGATTTCGTTTCCCTTAATTTTTATATTTTTATGAAATTGAATGGTTTTTTTTGCTTCTTAGATCTGTCATAGTGGCTGAATTGCAGTATGATTTTCTGTGAATCTCTAAGCTCGTTGAACTCTTACTGTTGGATTGAATTGGCTGTGAGATTTGGTCTAATACTGAATTTTACTTTTATTTTGCTTTAAATTAATAGAACCGATCTAGGTTGCATCTATGTGCATCTATTTATTTGGAAATGGTTGTGGAGACTGCGAATTTGTAAATTTGTATCTGTTTTAAATTAGATATCAGCTCGACTGAAATCTATGATGGTAGAATGTTGTTTCGATTGGATTTGAATTGCTATATTAGGTTTATTTCGCTATTCTGATGCATATTACCAACAGTGCTTTTTAGGTACTGCTTTCCTTTTTCTGGGTATTAATTTATTCGCACAAGGCATAGCTTTTGATTTATAAACTGTTAGGGTGCTTATTTGAGAGGATGCTATAAAGGTATCCGAGACCTAGTTCTGTGGATCGCGTAAGCTGTTTCTGCCTGAGGTTTCTTTTTTCCTTTTCTTGTGGTGGTGTTTCTTACATCACAGAGCTTGCACTATCTATCTACAAGGTCTCGGATATTACATTGTTAAACGGTTTTGTCCTTGTTGAACAAGTTTTTGGACAGGCTTGCTCTAAATACTGAACTTATATCCTTTTCCTTGTAAAATAGGTGCATTGAACTTGTCTTTCTGTTTTTCGAAGTTGTTTTTATGTGAATTCTGTTTCTCCGGTTATTGATAGATTAGACCATGTTTCAACTTATTGTAGCACTTCTTAATGGACTGTGGTGCGGCAGTGGTAATTTGTTGCTGCAATAAATGGACTGTGGCACATTAATGGACCATGGTGCATCAATGTTAGTTTGTCAGTGTAATGAATTTCATATTCCTTAATTGCTTGGGTTCCTCAATTCATCTGCAAATTATCTCCTTGCTTGAGGTAGTCTATATGTCAGGGTATCTGTTAAAACTGAGTTGCTTTATGGTTTAGCAATTGTGACCAAGCATTGTCATTAATCATTATCAACTGGATCAATTATTAATTTTCTTTTGTGAGAACATACCTGACATGTGGACTGGTGAAGTTGTAAAATAATATATTTCTACTTCATGGGAGTTTGATGGTACTCCTAAGTCTGCTATCGTATTTACTGACAAAGTTTGATGAAATTTCCAATTTTTTTCCTCATGTTTATACAAGTTTGATGAAATTTCCAATTGTCTATTGGTTTAGAAACCAGTTTCTTTCTGTATTTCTTTAGCTTCCATGTCCATTGTTTTTGTAAGTGTTGGATCACATTTCCTTTTTTATATTTGTGCACTTGTAGGTGTTGAGTGTTAAAAAAAATTCTGGGTTATAATCATAGTTTCTTCCACTTGTAGGTAATGCTGTATTTGATGCGTCACAATATGAATTTTTCGGTAAGGATGTCCTAGAGGAGGTTGAATTAGGGGGATTAGAAGATGATGGTGATGATACCGGGTTGGTTGAGAATGGCGATAAGGAATATCCATTTTTTGCAATTAAAGAAGAAAAAGAAGAGGTGCGTTTCTTTATCCGCATGATGAGATCTGATACCCTATATAATTTGCATTATTGCCTTTTGCTCGCGATTTTCAACTGTATTATCTGTCATCTTTATCTTTCTTAAATTAGTTATTATGGTTTGAGATATTATTATTTTTGTTCGGCTATTTGATGTCTAGTTTTTTTAAAAATATTTTCTAGTACTTCTCTAATATATGGTTTGTGAACAATTAAGCAACTATTAATTTTTTGAAGCGATGTTGTCAAATCTCTTCCACTTTCCTTTGTACATAGCACATGCTGATAGTTATTCATCCCTTGACTTATTGAATGTCTTACGTCAAAATTTAGTCTTTAAACCTACACATTTTTAGTAACCATCTTTTCCCCTTACTTCGTCTGATTCAGCAGAGGACATATCTTGCTGGCTCTATGATTCATATGTGGCCTATCCTCTCAATCCTTCTTTTGATGTTGTACAAAGAGATGTTTTTGAAGCAGCCTGAAATGTGTACATAGTATTCTAACCAAGTATTGTGTTTGAACTATTAGAAGTAGGCACATGGTTTTAGGTTATTGACATGTTACAATTTTTTAGAGGTATAAGGTTTTTGAAAGTTGAGATCCTTGCTTATACAGCTTCCTGATGAGCAATATCTCAATATACTTATCCTGATGTTTAGGAATATATATGGTTGCTTCACATAGTCAATTAATGATCTACACCTAGTTGTTTTAGCTAATGAAATTTGAAAAAGTCTCATCAATGTATATTATGAGAAAAGCTGACTAAGGTGGTTTATGTTTTGACTAATCCTCTAGTTACACCAGCTTCATCTTGCGTGAGGAATATGCCAAATTTCTTTTGCTAAATACTGTACATGTAAACTTCTTTTAGCATGTGATATTGTATTTTACAGATTCAAAATAAGTGCTTTTGGAAGTAAATGTTAAAGAAAAATAATAAACTTTGTTTTAGTAATTTTAGTTTGCGGGTGTTGATCACACACGGGGAGGGAGAAACCTTGTTAGAACTTGGATTTGAATGTAATGATATTTCCATTATGTATTACATGGCGGGAGAATTTGCTATTCGTTTGTACTTGCATGAAAAGAAAACCCCTAACATTGTATATTTTTTGTTTGGCTTTAAGGTTAGAGCAAGAGATGTCTTTTTCTTTCCCTTGTACTAATTGTAAATCAGCTGTAACTTTTATGGAACTGAGTAAGCAACGGACTAATTGAAACCTTGCATCCTCTCTTAGTCTTAAGGAAAAGATAGAAAATGTTGTAGAAATTTTAGATTCTGCATACAGACAGGCTCAAATTTGATATCTAAAATCCACTTAGTGATACAAGCGAAAAAGAGGAGGGAAAAAATTTTCAGAAGGAGAACTTCTAATACTACAAAGCCCCGGTCTCTGGAGACTGAATCCATACAAATCTTCTTTGTCTTGTCTTCAAGTTCATGTCTTGGATTTTTTTTCAGCTCTACATGGTTATCAGTAAACATTAGTTAGAACATGGGAAGTAAAATGAGTTCACAACTAAGTTTAGAAGCCAAATAATGGAGATACTGTTTTCTTTTTGTACACCATTGCGCTTAAACATCCATTTGGATACAGTAATAAATCCTAGGTAATATAGGTTCTGTGTGTTGTAAGTTAAATAATTTCTCAGGATCAAAAGTTTCCTATTTAGAAAATAAATCCATGTCAAAGCGTAGGAGAGCTGTTTATTCTTATTTGGGAAAATAATCTATTTTGCCAATTAATGGCTGTAAGTTATTACATTATGACATTGGTGGCGCTCAATTTATTTATTTTCTGAACTACTAATGTCTTGTTTGGTGAATGTTTACTTACATGGTTTGTATTCATAATAGTGGCTTCCTGTTTTCTCAGTGCTTCACTTATGCATCTAATGTTGATTTTTTTTTTGTTTTTTTGTTTTTGGCATTTGCAGGGTGAAGGTATTGGGCTATTATCAGAAGTTGATGATCTTTCAAGAACTTTCTCAAAGGTTAGGTTCTAGAGTTAATTTTTTGCATGCGTCATCTTGGACTTCACAAAATGATCGATATATAATTTGCATTTTAAATTGGTTAGAGAAGATTTTAGATTATGTTGCTTTTGATGTAGTCTTTATGTTTAACTTCAGATTATATCCTCTAAAACTTTGTAGCTTGTGAATATCCAATTTACAGATATATTAATCTCGGAGAAGCAACGGTATGTCTCGAGATTAACATGTAGTTAAATGAGCAAACATTCGAGAATATCATGTCATATCGTTTTGAAATATATCGATGGAAAGATGGAGCATTAAATGCATGTTTTCGTATAAGCATTAACTGTGACAGAGAAACATAGTTTGGTATTGCTTTGATCATGATGAGTTGATTGCAATTTCCTATATATAACTTTTTCCTAATGTATTTTCAGATGACTTCATGGCATAGATTTATCCCTTTCATATGATTGTTCAACATTTCTTACGAAGCATATTTCAAACTGTCTGGTTAACACAATCAGAATTCTTAAAAGCTATAAACTGATTTATGCTTGATTCTGAGTTACGAAGATATGACTGCTTTGTAAGTGTCCTATTTGATTTTCAATTAGGACACTTGTAACCTAGCCGGTCAATACAATCAGAATTCTTATAAGACCAATCTACTCATGGTTATGATTACTACTACTGACTTAGCTCTGTTATTTTTCTCTTTAAGTTTAAATTATAAAATTTCCTTGTCATTCTGTTTTCACTTTGATTTCCTGATATTTATGTTCCCTATTCTTCTCAGTTAAACAGAACTGTCAGTGAGCCACAAGGCATCAGGAATGTTCATGGTAGAGGATCATTTTCCAGAGAGGGTGAGCATTTCTGACTTTTTTCAGCTCAAGATGTCATTTTAAAAGCGCACAAGAAATTGATGAAGTTCAGGAGCTTCCTTTTTTTTTTCTGCATTACCAGTTCGAAAGTGGTAGACTCATTAGCTAACTATTCTCTTGTTGTTTGGTTGGTTAATGGGGCTATTCTGTGGCTGGTCACATGCTTGTGTTGGTTGTCATTTTTTTTCTTTTCTATCTTGAGTGAGGGGAATTACATGTAAACATGGACTAGTGTAGATTTGTAATTTACAGACCAAGACCAACTTAACATTCATCAAAGAAGTAGTTCCACACTAATGGAGGAACCCTATGTTACCTGAGTACTTCTAATCAGAAGCTGTACCCGACACATACCCGTATCCGCACTCAAACTTCTTGGACGCTTCTTGAATATATGCGTACTTTTATTGAGGCGTATACTCAATCATATAATATATGTTTTAATTTAAAACACTCATACACTTCTTGGGAGTATATTCTACACTTCTCATCTACTTCTTATATATTGATCTCATGTGAATGAAAAAATAATATTGATCTTATGTAAATTATTAATTTTAATGCATATAAATATGCATAACATACACATTTATAACCATGTCCCAGTATCATCTTTTACAAATTTGCTGTCCCGTACCCCGCACCCGTACCCATATCAGTACCGTACCTGTACCCATGCAACTTAGGAGGAACCAAAGTCAACTCAGAATGCGTTTAAGCAAATCAACCAAAGTCAACCTAAAGTCAACCCAGTATGCATTTAAGCACATCATCAAGGAACAATAAGAATGTCTGCAATAACGTTATGGCAACAAGCTTATTCTCTAGTTGTCATCACATTATTGCATACACTCTTCTGGTTCTTTGATGATGTGTTTAAATACATTCTTGTTGACTTTGGTTCCTCCATTAGTGTGAAAGTACTTCTTTGACTAATGTTAAGTTGGTGCTGGCCCATGAATTACAAATCTACACTAGTCAACATGTTTTACATGCAACTCTCCCCGTCCAAAAAGAAAAGAAAAGAAAAATGATGACCAAAACAAGTATGCAAACAATCACAAGAAAGCCCCATTAACCAACCAACCAAAAGAAAGAACCACCCTGATCCTTGTGTCTCAGCTCATTGTTTTATATGAAGTACTTTGTTACTTTAGATTGAGTTTAATCGGTAATTTCTTTCTATTTAAACAACCCACTATTACCCATGCCATGCGTTCTCTTGTATTGCTACTTCATTATAAGCAAGTCTTATATGAGATATGAACCCCCACCCCTACGAACAAAACATACATACAAACGCAAAGCAGGAGCCCCTCCTTATTTTTTCTCTTCCTCTTTTGGTTCTTCAATTTTCAAGTGTTGTTCTTTGAGGAGGTTGGTTTGTTAAAAAGTTTAGCAACTTACAAATGCTAATAAGGAAATAAATTTGCTTTTGTGAGTAGGAAGTTTACGGCATAAGAGAAGTTAGCTACTAAGCTACTTGAAAATCTAAGACATATAACAAAGTTAACAAATTTTCCTCTCTTTTTCTTTCAAATTGAACAGGATACCACTGTCTTCCCGTAGGTTGGTTTTCCAGATAATCTGGGAAAAGCTAATTAGTGAACTGATTAGTTTTTGATTTTTTATCAACTTAATATGCATCGATTTATTTATCTAAAATATTTAAAGATCTCTTTTTGGTCTCTCATCAGGTTCTCTGAATGTAGAGGTGAAGCAGGAACCAGACTTCTCAAATTGGGCTGATCAACGCATGCAAAATGCTGAAAATGACCATGACAGCAAGAAATGGTCATCCCAGCCGTACCCTTTTCCACCTGAGTCAAAGCCATTGTACAGAACTTCCTCATACCCTCAACAGCCTCATACCCTCAACAGCCACATCCTCATTTACAGCAAAACATTGTCACTGAGCCTGTTCCCATTCCCAGATCATCCTCTTTCACTTCCTACCCTCCACAGGCTGGACCTCCTATTCCCTTTTCTTCTCCAAACCTATCCCATTTCTCTCCCCCACATCATTTTGCATCTGGACTACCTCATGGTCTCCACTTAATGGGTGGAAATATGCCTCAATTTGGCCCTCCAGCCCATCACATAAATGCCCGTCAACCAAGTCCAAATCACTGGCCAAGCCAAGATGGGCTAATTCAAGGAATGCATAACTCTAATGGGTTAATGCATCCTAGATTGCATCAAGTTCAGCCTTCTCCACCTCATTTCTCAAATCTGCAGTCTCAGATGTATGGTCCTCACCCTCCGATGCTCGGGATGCCAGAATTGAGAGAGCAGAGGCTCAGACCACCACTGCAAATGCAAAGGGGAAGACAGAACCCAAGATTGCCACACCAGGGTTATGATGATTCTGGATGGCCACGATTTCGTTCAAAGTATATGTCAGCAGAGGAGATCGATAGTATCGTAAGAATCCAGCATGCTGCAACTCACAGCAACGACCCTTATGTTGAAGACTACTATCATCAAGCCTGTTTGGCAAAGAAATCGTCCAACTCGAACTCAAGGACGCGGCACCATTTTTGCCCTGCTTCCATTAGGGACCATCCCTCTCACACTAAGACCAATTTAGAACCTCATGCTTATCTTAAAGTCGATGCCCTTGGTCGTCTTCCCTTCTCTTCCATTCGCCGACCTCGCCCTCTTCTTGAAGTTGATCCTCCTTCCAATTCTAGCGATGAAATTCTAAGCCAGAAATCTGCTACCAGGCCTTTGGATCAAGAGCCGATGTTGGCAGCGAGGATCACCATTGAGGATGGCATCTGCCTTCTTCTTGACGTCGATGATATTGACCGCTTATTACAGTTTGGTCTGCTGCAAGATGGTGGGATCCAGTTGAGGCAGAGGAGGCAGGGACTCTTAGAGGGGTTAGCTGCATCACTTCAGCTAGTTGATCCTCTTGGTCCTGGTATTGCACCAAATGATGATCTTGTGTTTCTGCGCATTGTTTCTCTTCCAAAAGGACGGAAGCTTCTCTCTCGTTTTTTTACACTTCTTTATCCTGGAGATGACTTGGCTCGAATTGTTTCCATGGCTGTATTTCGCCACCTGAGGTTTTTATTCGGTGAGATGCCATTGGATACTACTGCAGTGAAAACAACTACAGATCTCATGCTTACAGTGGCTTCAATTGTTCGTAGAATGGAGTTGGGCTCACTTAGTGCTTGCCTTGCTGCGATTGTTTGCTCATCAGAGCAGCCACCCCTTCGTCCAATTGGAAGTTCAGCTGGTGATGGTGCATCTGTTGTTGTCAAATCTGTTCTTGATAGAGCCACAGAACTTCTAACTGATCAAAATGCTGCACCCAACTATAGCATTAGGAATCTATGGCAGGAATCATTCAATGCTTTTTTTGGATTGCTCATGAAGTACTGTATAAGTAAATATGAAGGAATAATGGAGTCGTTGGTTTTGGGGGCACCAAATGCTGCAGCATCTACTATTGGGCCAGAAGTTGCAAGGGCTATAAGCCAGGAGATGCCTATGGAGTTATTAAGGGCGAGTTTGCCTCATACAGACGAGAACCAGAAAAAGCTTTTGCTCGAGTTTGCTCAGAGATCAATGCCAGTTACTGGACCGACTAGTTAAGGCTAATCTCAAACGGAGATCATGAATGCAGTATGGGTGCTTTTGCTTAATCCCACTGTCACGATGCAAAGAACACAGGTCAATTTAATCGTCTATGCATATTTTATCCATTTTTACAGGCTTAAATTTTACATTACCTGGCTTATATGGGTAATTTTTAGTATTGTAGTGGAGTTTCACCTAGAAGTTTCTCTTCTTGGGGAGCCTAATTTTTATTCGCTCTGAAATTGGAACTCCAGGTAAAATCTAGTAGGGGTAGGATTTGTACAGGTTCAGTTACTGGAAACCTCCCTTTTTTTCTGCTGTTTTTATCGAGGATTGGGGAATTGGGGGGTTTCTCTTGGTTTTTGAGGAGAGAGTTGGTTGCGTCGAACCTGCTGTTTTCAAACGAACTTAGCATTTCTATGGTTTGTTTCTTTCATTGTTTTCTTGTTATTTTGCCGATTCAAATGTATGTTGGTGTCTGGAAAAACTGATAATGGTTGAAACGCTCAACACTATATGATGTTACATGTTTTTGTATTCTCTGTTGTGACTTTGAGACTCTTTCTAATTGTTTAGGATCACTTTGATCTACAAATGTACTTAAAAGGTTTCTTCTGTGTTTGCGGAGTTCCTATTTGTTTTTAAGATTTTCAATGTACATTGTACGGAATCGTTCTTATAGCATCTCTACCGAATGCTTGTTACATTTTTTTTCATGTAACCTTGTTCAAATGCTCGTGATCATTTTTTTGACATTGAAATGGTTGAATTGCTCAACAGTATGATGTTTACGTGTTCTTTTGCATTTTACGTCGTGACGTTGATGCCCTTTTGGTGGTCGGATACTAACTGGCCCACCAATGTACTTAGGAGGATACCCATACGCTTGGAGTTCCTTATTGCTTCCAAGTTCTACAATGTGTTAATGCGTACTGAACCAATCTTTTTCACTTCAAAGTTTCCATTTGCTTCTGTGTCGACAGTCGTCGATGCCTTTTTCTTCCTCTGTAGGTAGTATTGGATTTGGATCCAAATCTAGTTAGAAATTTGCTCAGGTGTTACATAACAACAAAGTCTGACATACCTGTAAGATTAAGGTAACAGGGGGTGAAGCTACTCTGTAAATTTATTCATTTAATTTGTAGGAGAGCGGAGCTTTCAAGTTTTGAGAAAGCTCAGTTTCACTTTTGTGGTTATCTTCTTTAGGACGTCGTCCTTTTGAGTAGCGGTTTCTTTTAGCATGGATTTGTGATCGTATTATGACGGAACCCACACGAACTTCACAATGCTCACATCCTCTTCCTGCCTCTTCTACTCATAAAGAATCGATGCGCTCATCGCATCCCTCTCCTCCAAAGGAACTTCATCTCTTTATGTGCACATGGAGGCATGAATTTCCTAGGAATATTCGCATGAAAGCTAACGAAAGTTACTGATGTGCTAATTTTTTTTTATAACTTGGGTTATTGAAGTGTTACTTTTTACGACTTATGTATTCAAGTGTAAATGTGGCGAAACAATATGGTATTTATGTGCTATTTAGCCAAAAATTTATAATGTCATGTCACTGGTTATGTCTATTTACAAAATAATTGATTGTTACGATTCATATGTTAGAGGAGGATAAAGCTATTTAGTTGTCATCGTCGTTTTTGTGTCAAAAGAAGCATACGATGGGGGATCCAATTTCACGTGCTAAGAATCAAGGCCGTGGATACTTTCGAGAGTCTTTCAAAGCA